CTGGAGACCCAGAGGGGCCTGCCTCTGTCTCACTGTGGTCCAAAGCCAAAGGCCTCAAGACCAAGAGAGCTGAGGAGATGGCAGGCTAGAGAACAAAGAAGAGTCTATATTAAAGCCAGAAAAGATCCATGTCCCAGGTCAAAGCAATCAGACAAGAGTCATTTTCTTCACCTTCTGGCATGGTAAGACCTTATATTCTATTCAGGCCTTCTACTGATGGCATGAGGGCCACACACGGATTAGAGGGCAATCTGTGTTACTGAGATTACAGATTCATCTAAAACACCTTCACTGAGGTGCCCAGAAAGACATTCAAACAAATATCTGGTGTGGCCTTGTCAAGTTGAAACCTAAAATTACCCATCATGACCACAATAGCTGGCTATTTAGTACACTAACTAGAAATTTAGGATCTAAATTCCCATTCCCATTTGTTAACTTTTTTATTCATCACAATGTGCTTTTATTTTACTTGAAGTTGTTCTTATGAAGGTCATCACTGATTTGGTGTCTCTCTTGTCCAAATGTCTTTAATCAGCCCTTTCTCAATTTCTATGTGGTTTTTAATCTTAGTGACTAACTTGTCTTTTTGGAATACTTATCTTTTAGTTCTCATAGTATACTTGACTTTGAAACTCTTTTAATATCTATGACTATCATTTTTCTTAAATTCACTATAGTTCACAGTTCCAGCAAACAGCTGTATACACACTTGATTTCTAATATTTAATATTTAGCATTCTCCTTTCTCTAAAACTCATTTTACAATTTTAAACTCTTCAGTAGTCATTTCTACCTAAATATTCAAACTTGCCATGTCTCTGAAAGATTATTAATTTTTACTCTCAAACTTGCTATTGCCCATTACCTCATCTGCATGTCTCAGAGAAAAAGCATTTTCAGACTCTCAATTGTTAAGGCTCAAAACTTTTGTGAAGTGATTACCTGTTTGTCATCTGTGTTGGAGCTCCTCCTTCTGGGAAACTATTCTTTCCATTTCTACAGGCAAACAGGATGCACCCAATCTCCTGGTCCAAGTGTGAACATGTGACCTAAGGTGAGCCACTGAGAATCACACTCTTGCTTATTTTATCTGAAGCATATAGAAAAGATGCTCCATTTTGATGGAGATTTTCAATACTCTAGGATAATGTAATTCTGAAGGGTCCAGGAGCCTGCTTCACTACCACATATACAGAGCCTGCCTGCAAAGGAAGTCAGTAAGAAAGAAGCAGTCTTGAGAAAGAGTAAGAGACAGATTGTCTTGCTTCAAATATATGAACCAATAAATTTTCATTTTTGTTTAAGCAAGTTAGAGTTGGCTTCCTGTCACTTGTAATCTACAGAATCCTGACTGAGGCCCTGCTTCTTATATTTGACTGTTCTCTGATCCAATTCCTGTTGATTCCACCCTTGTGAAATCATCTTCTGTGTATTATCACAGCTACCACCTAACTCAGAACTTCATCACCTGTCACCCAGAGTAAAGCAATAGCCACCCACTTGTACAACTTCATTTTCTAATCAATCTTATTTACGGTTGCCAGAACTCTCTTTCTAGATTACAGTTTTGATTTTGTCAAATTTGTTTGCTTGTCATTCAAGGCCACTCACACTGTGTCTGTATTTATCTATAAAGATTTATCTCCCAAGCCACTATTTCTTGTGGCAGAACAAAGTGCTTAAGAGCACAAACCCTGGAACCAGATTCTCGAGTTTAAATTAAGGATCTGCCACTTCTTAGCCATATGAATTGAGCAAATTTCTTAAACATCTGTATGTATAATGTTCTTCATTGGTACCATGAAGATAATAGCACTCACCTCATGATGTCATTATGGGGATTAAAGTAATCAATATTCATAAAGCATAATAAATATGCCTGGGCTATATAAATGTTAAAGAAAATAAAATGCTTCATAGAAGGGAATGTTTTATCTTGTTTTTTATAGTCTTTGTGCCTAAAAGTTCCAATGCATGGGAAACACCCATTTACTTACTGAATGAATGAGTGAATGAATGAATGAATGAATAAGTAAAAGCAGCCTTGGCTTCTCCTTTCTCTCCAAGCAAACAAACCTCCTGCTCCCCAAGAATGCCCACACCCATGTCTCTACTTTTGTGCCTTTAAGCATTCTATACATCTTTGTTCTAGAGAATACTTCTTTCCACTTTAAATATGAAATAATCTTCATACTTCAATACCTTACTCAAATGCCGCCTTAAAGATATCATCTTAGACTCTTCAAGCCAAAACAATCTAACCCCCTGTAAAAACAAAAGCAAATGAAAAAAAAAAAAAAAAACCCTGAGTTATCTAAATTTCTCGAATGTACCTGTATTTTCATCCTTGCATAAGATTGATTTATGTATGTGCATTATTTTCTCTCTAAAGGTTAAATTATTACGGGTGATGGAATCTCTTTGCAGTGTGCCATGGCACCTAACACTGGGTCTTGCATGAGGTAGACATTTAGTATTCATTTTTTAGTTACTATATATAACTGTCATGTATACATAATGAAAAATTTATTACTAGTATGAATAAAGGATATGTCACTAACGGTTCTCTAATTGGAGGATGAAGAATAAATGTCACAATAATAGAGACTCAAATTCTCCATAAGAGAACCAAATAGGCCAAAGGTTTTAGGTTTAACTAAACCTGATCAGATTTCATTCAGACTTCACTCAGGAGCTAAAAACTTGGCTTTGTCGTTTATAGTGAAGAAAAGATATAGCAGGCTTACTACAAAATATAAGGAAATCAAATTACTTTGAGGTACTAGTATCATAATCAGAACATAGTTGATATCTAAGAGGCAATACTTTGGGCAGTAACTGATGAAACAGACATATTTAATTATACATGGGCCCTTACATGGACCACAAAAAAGCATCTTGAAATGTCCACATAAGGTTCATATTAAGTTTTGAGTCATGTGCCTGTCACATCAATCCCACAATTCTAAGGCTATAAACTTAACTCTAGTTAGGTGCAAAAAATATAAGGAGGTAAATAAGAATTAAAAAATAAGATAAAAATAGGAATAAGAACACAACTCAGAAATAAATTTAAATTCACAGATTTAGCAGAGCATTTGTTACAAGTCCTAATTACTTGGGAATCTGAAGCTGTAGGATCACATAGTCCAGGAGCTCATGACTTGCCTGAGTAACATAGTGAGACACTGTCTGAAAAAAATAAAATTAAAAAGTGACAAAAAATGTCAAGGTCATTGTACTGTCATGTGTAACTAATTAAAACAAATTAAAAAAAAAGAATTTAAAAAATGAATTAATAGATTTGGCATATTAAAATTAATGGAGCTGGGCAAGGATTGTAGCTGAGTGGTAGAGCACTTGCCTTGCAGGTGTGAGGCACTGGGTTTGATCCTCAGCACCACATAAAAATAAATAAATAAAATAAAGGTATTGTGTTCATGTACAATTAAAAAAAATTAAAATAAATAATGAAGCTAACAATCAAAACTGATTCTCTCCTAGTAAGTGCAAGGTGCTTCTCATTTGCCAGACATGCAAGGTGACAGCGTCCCACTCAGGTTCTCTTTGAAGAAAGTCCTACATGTATATAACAGAGGCTAAGACCAGGCAGATTTAGGTGGTTTCTAAGAAGGAAATGCTGCAAAATAAACCAGGAACATAACAATAAAGGTTTCCTCACTTCTTTATAAAGTGTCACATTAGAGATGGTGCTTCGCTTTATTTCATATGAAACGGATGGCACAGGGGAAGTCACTGAAAACTCATATTTATTTATTTGTATTTCTATATCTTAAACCTGTTAACATTTAAAAAGGAAAGGGACATTTTTTTTTCTAAATTGCATCTCAATCATAACCTTTCTTCCTGGGTTTTATTACAGTATAAATTTAGCATTTTTCACTTAAAAATATTATTGCTAAGATTCTTAATGTTTTCACATGATTAAGTAAAGTTTCCTAATTATCATCATAAAAATTCAAGGAGATTTTGAAATTGACTTTAATTCATTTTTATACAATGAAAAGAGATTGATAGAAAAGCTCATTAACAGTGTGTCCAGGTAAATGTATTAGCAGTTAATTCAGAACTATTTAAGGAAATTTTCTTAGGTATTTTTCTTAAGAAAACAGCCCCCAAATAAATCTAAAGAGATTAAGAAAAACATTTATATTAAATTAGCCTGAGATGTATTTAAGACTTTACATTATTAAACATTAAATATTAGAAAATCATATTTTTAAAGTATTTCAAGTGGCAACCTACTATATATAGCAAAACCACATGTAAGTTTTATACAACAGATAAGTTAAAATAAATACAGTGTTGTTTCCCACCTAATAAAATAGGTATGTGTATAAATTGAGATACACAGACATGATTTAGTGAGAAGAAAAAACTTCAGGTTCTTAATAAGATTGAAAGATAATTCAGAAAAGTGAAGAATGTAAAATAGTGCATTTCTTTGCATTGCTATTTGGAATTTCTAAATCAACTTTTTAGAAGGAGGATGAAGCTGTGATGTTTGTAGTCTCAGCTTCAGAACTAAAATTTTTGCCATTAAAAACGGGCTAAGCTAGTCATAATAAAATGAACTTAAAATGATGTCTAATTGTCTACCTCAAAAGTTTCATTTTTTAGAATTTTTAGATGTGATTCATTTACTATGAGCTCTCTAATATTCATTTCAATTAATAGTAATCAATAGAAATCCAGTTTTGTGAATTCACCATAGTATCCACAGAATTTTCAAATAAGTGAAAGTGAATTTATTATTCAAAGCTCCCAAGTTTCTCAGATCACAGCTCTACTCTTTTTTAAATTTTTATTTGTTCCCCGCTGGCTGCTCTGAAAAGCCATCCTTGCATTGTTTCTAGGTCCAGCTCCCTACTCGCGGCAACCACCCCCGCTGGGCACCTCCACCGCCGCTGCGGACTCTGGGAGCGTTATCTCCAGAGTCCCTCTAGTTTCCTTTTTAACCACCAGCATGCCCCACCATGGACACTAGCTCTGAAGTCACCACCAAGGACTTAAAGGAGATGAAGGAAGTTGTGGAGGGGGCAGAGAATGGAAGAGTTGTCCCTGCTAATGGGAATGCTGATGAGGAAAATGGGAAACAGGAGGCTGACAATGAGGTAGATGAAGAAGAGAAAGAGGGTGGTGAGGAAGAGGAGGAGAAGGAGGAAGGTGACGGTGAGGAAGAGGATGGAGATGAAGATGAGGAGGCTGAGGCAGCCACGGGCAAAGGGGCAGCTGAAGATGACGAGGATGATGTTGATACCAAGAAGCAGAAGACCGATGAGGATGACTAGACAGCAAAAAAAGGAAAAGTTAAATGAAAAATAAAAGGCCACCGTGACCTATTCACTCTCCACTTCCCCTCTCAGAATCTGAACGTGGTCACCTTGGAGTAGAGAGGCCGGCCTGCCCCCGCCCACCAAGGGCAGTGCCACCTGCAGATGACAGGCGCTCTTCACCACCCAACCACAACCACAACGTGAATTTGCAACAGAGGAGGAAAAAAAGAACCAAACTTTCCAAGGCCCTGCTTTTTTTCTTAAAAGTACTTTTAAAAAGGAAAATTTGTTTGTATTTTTTATTTACATTTTATATTTTTGTACATATTGTTAGGGGTAAGCCATTTTTAATGATCTCCTATGACCAAACCAGCCGTTGGAGCGTTCTCCATTCTACTTCTGACTTTACTTGTGGTGTGACCATGTTCATTATAGTCTCAAAGGAGAGAAAAAAAAAAAACTTGTAAAAAAAAAAAAGCAAAAACAACACAAAAAACAATCTTATTCCAAGCATTCCAATAACTTTTTTGTTTATGTACTTTAACTGTACTCTAAATAGTTGGTTTGTATGAGATGGTTAAAAAGGCCAAAGATATAAAGATTTCTTTCTTTTTTTTTTTTCCTTTTTTTGTTTATGAAGTTGCTGTTTATTTATTTATTTATTTTTGGCCTGTTTGATGTATGTGTGAAACAATAAACCGGAATTTTATTTTGCTGAGTTGTTCTAATAAATAAATGAATAAATAAATAAATAATTTTTTATTTGTAGAGGGACACAATATCGTTATTTTATTTACTTATGTGGTGCTGAGATTCAAACCCAGTGATCCATGCATGAAAAGCAAGTGTTCTACAACTGAGCTACAACCCCAGCCCACACAGCTTTACTCTTAAAAAAATTTTTTCCAGTCCTGAGAATCTGGATGAACTAAACTTCGATATAATGAAATTAAACTTAAAAATAAAATCTTACTTTGGTATTTGGCAGTCAATCCTTTGGTTTTGTTGAATATTAAGAATTTATAAGAAACTTTTCACATTATATATCATAATGTTCAAGGAATCCATTTTTTCCCTCAAATCACAACTTTTATAGAATTTAAATATGAAGAAAAAGTAGCAGGATAGTTTTCTTCCTTTTTAAATAACATCTATTTCAACTACAAACTAACTTTTATGATTGATAAAGTATTTATGTAAAAAATGGTGATTTTAATTTCTTGATTTCTATAATGTGAATGTTCAGATGACTTAAAAATGTGTTATTATTAGTATATTTAGAGTTACCAATAATTGGTTCATAGAACTTGAAGTAAGAGTTTTTGAAAATTATTTGGATTAAGACTAAAGAAAGAAAGCACAGATGGTCCTACCAGGTCATTTATGAGCAATGCGATGTAAAATAAAATATGTGATCAGAAAATATTCTTAGAAACTATTATCTCAAAGGCTTTCTCATGTTAAAGGTTAAGAAACCGAATGCCAGAAAATTTACCCATAAAGTTATGTAACAAATTAATAGCAATAGTCTCAAATTGATCCCAAATCATTGAATACTCATTCCATTTTTTGTCTTCTGAAAAGGAGAGATCCAAGCATTAGAGACCTTATCTCAGGTCCTGACACAGCCTGAAGGAAATAAGGTCAATAATATATACCAACGTTTCTCCCACACCTGTTCTTTACCCCACGTTGGTCATCATAATTCCAACAGATTTGAAATAGGAAGGAGTATCTGGATTTTTGTATTCTTATTGTTTCTAGTCTCTAGCATCTAGAAAATTGATTGGGACATGATAAATAAAGAATTCCAAAAGTATTAAATATTTTTAGTTATAAGAAAGAGTAGGTACAGAACTACTATAAGTGGTGCCAACTAGGATAGAGTAAAAGTTTAGGGCAATCTATCTTAGATTATTCAAGCATCATTCTCAAATAAATACTAGGGAAGGAATAATAGTCAATCAGCTATTTGGAAACTAAAATACTTTCTCTCATCTTTCTAAATATTTCATGCCCAACAATATTAATTTACTACTTTCTTTGTGAGAGGTACCCTACCAGTGCTTTCCAAGCATTTACAGTATTGTATTTGATAATAAAACAAAACTCTCTTTCTCCAATTTGTACAGGGACAAACTCAAACTTAGTGATGATTTGTACTCAGGCTGCCTGATCCTGATCCAGAACCAAGGCTTACAACACTTACCTATATGGCACACGCATTGCAAAATCTTACTTCTACTTTTTTAATAGGATGGCTATTTCCAAAAAATTAATCTAGAGAAAAAAATAGAGTGCTGATCTTAAGAATTTAGATTAATAATTTTGATATACAACTCATTATCAGTCATTTGTTCTTATTACAATTAGAAACTCATCCTTATTTTTTAAATTTACCTATTATTTACTTGTATTATACCAATAACCATGGCACTCATTTTTAAAGGCAAAAATTTTGGTGTTGAACATTATAATTGATGTTTTTTGAAAAAAACAGAGAGATAAATTAGTTTAAATCACTTAAAGAAGTTGAGACATAAACAAAACATAATAGAAAATTGTGAAATCTAAGACCAGTTATTCATTTGTTCACTGGGTAAAAAATTGGGTGATTGGATATCCATAAAACTATTTTCTGAAAAAATTGCAGGTTAAACACATTTGTAAATCTCTTCTCCCTCCTGAGACACAAATTAAAGTAAAAATAATAAAAACTGTCCAAGACTCTCAAATACACAAAGAGAAAGAGAGATGTCAATAGAAGAGCTAGAAAGTGAGGAATTAAGTGGTGAATGATTTAGTTAGAAAAAGGAAATAACAATGAAATTTGTGCAGAGGGCACAAGCAGATTCAGTTTGCCAAATAGAAATTCACATAAGCTCAGGACTTGAAGGTCCCAAGAGAACACATCAAGGGAATGAGGCATGACTTGGGAAATGGGAATTTGTTGCAAGACTATATAAGGAAAAGTCAATGTCCCTTCTACTTATGGACCCTCTTTCATGCAGAAGCACCCATTTTTATGGTAGAAAGCTGAATGAATGAGACACAATGGAATGGCTTGGTCTTCATTACATACCAGGCACTGGGCAGGGGGGATGAACTCTTTCTAAAGTTTTAACAGATAATAAAAATTATCAGAATTATGGGGAAAAACTCCAACATGACAAAGAAATACCAACATAAACTAAGGTAGAAAATAAATTGTTATAAAGGCAATGTATGTACAAGAAGAAAGAATCAAAAAGGTAAGAGAAAGTACAGCTTTGTCTGATAAAAAGATTTAAAAAAAAGAGGGAAAAAGGGAGGATGAGACAGTCAGCCTTGAGAAAGATACAATCAGAAGATCTCCATGGGGTTGGGAGGAAGAAATCCTTTTGGAGGAAGAGAGTTTTCTCCAAGAAATTGTTTTTATTTTTTTTATTTATTTTTTTTTTTAATTTTTTATTGTTGGTTGTTCAAAACATTACAAATTTCTTGATATATCATATTTCACACTTTGATTCAAGTGGGTTATGAACTCCCATTTTTACCCCATATACAGATTGCAGAATTACATCAGTTACACATCCATTGATTTGGAAGAAATTGTTTTTAAATATTTTTTTTTTCAAGAAAGGCAGAGAGATGAGAAATTTGAAGAAAACAATATGAGAGACAGTCTTGGTCTCTCACAGCCAGTAACGAGGAATTTTATATAAAAAGAACAAAACAAATATAAAGTGGAAAAACATTTTAAAAATTTAAGGAAATTCATCATCTATGAAGGACACACAGAGTGTCTCACCCACTATGTGCAGAAATATCCTCAGGAAGGGACCTTTAACTTCAGAGCAGCAAAGATAACCATGCTACAATGCTGCCAAAGAAAAAGAAGTTTCTTTTTAACAGAAGCAGCCAGAATTACACTGTATTCTAATTAGCAATATGGGAATCTAAAAAATAATGAAGGAATGTCTTCGGAATTTTGAAAGAATGCAATCTTCAATCTAGATAATACACCAAATCAAACTAATAATACAGATCAGGTCAATAAATAAAACATATTGGGCCCTGTGATGCTTTATGGTGAACTGATGTAATGTGGAAATGAGTGTGTATGATCGTGAGCAGTATATAGTTAATATAGTCAGTCCACTGATGAATACTTAGAATTTCCCACAGTTAAAACAAATTTTGAGAGTATTAGATGATCCCTATTTTAATTAGAGTTCTGACAACTTCAGTCTTGTTTTTAAGAAAGCTGAACCCAAACAATACAGGTATGAATTTGGTAGACAAAGTCAGTCTTTATTTTCTTTTCTAAAATGGAAATAGATTTATTGTTTTCTGATTAGCTAATGTATATGCTTAATATATTCATTGAGAAGATAGGGAAAGTGCAAATAAGAATTAAATCACCAGAAAGGCTACAACCCCATAGATATCACCTAAGTTATTCAATATTTAGTTATTAACATTTATATGAGTATATACATATAAATATTACTTGACTATAAACATATTAAAGTGTATACCTGCATTTATATATGTGTGTGTGTGTGTGTGTGTGTGTGTGTGTGTGTGTATATATATATATATATATATATATATATATATATATTTTAACATACTCATAAATATAACAACATCTGTAATGAACCATGTATTTTCACATTAAAATATATCATGAACTTATTTTCCATGTAAACAATAGCACATCACAACATATTTAATGGTAAGAAGAGCTTGAGTATGTTTCCAATAAAAGAAACATACATGTGTTCTGGATACCAGTCAGGTAGATGAAAAAATGATGTTTAATTGTGAAAATAAAAGGGATTGTTGTTTTGTTGTTTTCATTACTGTGCAGTAATTATTTATAAAGGCACCACTAGTAGTGAGATAATATTTTATACAGCCATGTAACATGTATGATTTACGTCTATATAGATGTTTAACTATGGATGGATACATGTAATTTACATCTGCGTAGGAATATGTGTACATATTCATGCATGTGCTGTTGCAATTTATATTTATGTTCACATTTATGTGAATGTTATTTTAATGCTTGGATTTATTATGGACAAAT